AAAAAAAAAAAAAAAAGGTATTTATCTGCAGCCAAAGCGATAGGTTTCAGCTTAAGATATAATTTTGGGAGTCACTGATATATGCATAAGATTTAAAACCATGGGAATTAAAGACACCCAGGGAGCATGTAAGAAAAACAGGTCACCTTGAAGAGCACCAATATTGAAGGAGGAGAGAGAAAAAAACAATCAGAAATGGAAGAAATACTGAGAATACTGCTGTTGAGAAATAGCAATCAAAAAAAAAAGAAAGAAAACCATAACCACCCTTTCAGTAATATCCTAGAAACCAAAGAAAGCAATTGTTGTAAAAATAAAATAACAACCAAAGGTATCAAATGCAGCTCGGAAAATGAGGACTGAAAAATATTTTTCTATTTAATAACCAGGAAGCCATTTGTGGCCTTATTTATTTATTTATTTAAAGATGAATTCTTGCTCTGTCACTCAGGCTGGAGTACAATGGCGCAATCTTGGCTCATTGCAACCTCTGCCTCCCAGGTTCAAGCAATTCTCCTGTCTCAGTCTCCTGAGTAGCTGGGATTACAGGGGCATGCCACCATGCCTGGCTAATTTTTGTATTTTTAGTAGAGACAGGGTTTCATCACATTGGTCAGGCTGGTCTTGAACTCCTGACCTCAGCTGATCCGCCCGTCTCGGCCTCCCAAAGTGCTGGATTACAGGCGTGAGGCACCACGCCCGGCTGACAGGGTTTTCTAAGTCTTTGTGTATACATATGGCCTTTGCAAAAATTGATAGTGAGACTGCAAGACCTCTTAAACTAATGGATCTTAATCTGATTATCATGTAATAACGCTAAAGGCAAATAATAACTTCCATCATTAATTAGTGCATTTATTGACTGAATCAACTTGCAAAGGCAGTTAGAAACTGCAGTTTTGTTTTGTTTTGGTTTTTCAGAACTGGTCTCACTTTGTCCCCCAGGCTAGAGTACAGTGGTGCAATCTTGGCTCACTGCAGCCTTAACCTCCAACGTTCAAGTGATCCTCCTGCCTCAGCCCCTGAAGTAACTGGGATTATAGGTGTGTGTCAGCATGCTTGTCTAATTTTTTGTATCTTTAGTAGAGATGGGTTTCAACATTTGACCAGGCTAGTCTCGAATTCCGGACCTCGTGATCCTCCTGCCTCCATCTCCCAAAGTGCTGGGATTACAGGTGTGAACCACTACGCCTGACCCAGGCTTTCCTAAAGAAACTTATAGCTTTTTGGCCAGGCTGGTCTCAAACTCCTGACCTCAGGTGATCTGCCCGCCTCAGCCAAAGTGCTGGGATTACAGGTGTGAGCCACCACACCCAGCCACATGAGATTTTTTACTAATGCAGATTCTGGGATCCTTTTGAATCCTATGAAATAGGATTTTACAGAGGTGGGACCTGAGATCTCAATTCGTACCATTATTATAGCAGGTTCCTCTGATTCTGAAGCTGCTAGTTGGGTGGGAAGCACTCATCTGCATTCATTCTTGCCTCTAACTTTCTAATTTAGCTTCTTTACCCACACATCCCAAAATTGTCCTTAATAAGGCCACAAGGCCTTACTGCACTCTAGCCTTGCACTCTAGCCTGGGCAACAAAAGTGAAATCTCAAAAAAAAAAAAAAAAAAAAAGAGTTTCAACAGAATATGCAAGCATCAACTACTGCTCTGGAATAGTTAAGCAAAACTAGACCCCAGCATTGAAACATTTTCTCACCTTCTTGAAAAATATCCTCTCCTCCAACTTGATACCACATCCCTACCCTCTGTATTATTAGCAGGACGAACAATAAAACAACCCAAGCTAGGCTTGGTAGCTCATGCCTCTAATCCCAGCACTTTGGAAGGCTGAGTCAAGAGGATCACTTGAGGCCAGGAATTTCAGACCAGCCTAGGCAACACAGAGAGACCCGTCAATACAAAAAAAAAAAAAATTAT